AATTACATGTTTAACTACATGTAAACCACATTTAAATTACATGTTTAATTACATGTTAATTACATGTTTAACTACATGTTAACCACATTTAAATTACATGTTAATAACATGTTAACTACATGTTTAACTACATGTTAATGACCTGTTTAACTACATGACATGTTAATTACATGTTTAACTACATGTTAACTACATGCTAACTACATGTTAAACTACATGTTAACTACATGTTTGACCTTGTTCTTCTGGTCCTCTCTCAGTCCAGTTGTCTCAGAGCAGTGGCTTCAGTTTGTGGGAGTACCTGCTCACCACCCGGCCGGGGATCGGGTGGGTGAAGGGGACGGCCTCGGTGACCGGTGTGGTTCTACAGGTGGTGATCTGCCTCATGGTTCTCTGCTCCAGCACCTTCGTCCGACGCAGTGGACACTTTGAAGTAAGAACATGTGGTTTCTGAACATCAGAGAAGTTCAAAGCTCACGTCTTTATCACCAGAACGACAAAATATTATTAAATATTAGAATATTAGAACATTTGAAACTGTTAGAGATGAGATCTTCTTCTCTTCTTTTATAATCCTCCTCATCCTCGTCTCTGTTTTCTTCTCCTGCTTCCCTGAGATGATTTCAGAGTTGTGTTGTGTAGGAAACATGGTTTCCTGTATAGTCGATACTTGAACACGTGTGTGTGTCTGAGTCCTGATGTCTACAATAGAAATATCCATGAGCTGAAAAGTGGTTTTGCTGCAGGTCTTCTACTTGTCTCACCTGTCCTACGTGTGGGTGTGGTCTCTGCTCATGGTTCACTGTGAAAACTTCTGGAAGTGGTTTGTGGTCCCGGGTCTGGTTTTCTTGCTGGAGAAGATCGTGGGTCTCGCAGTGTCTCGTATGGGAGGTCTTCACATCGTGGAGGTCATCCTGCTGCCGTCCAAGGTGCTGAACACAAACCCCTTATTATTCATCACACTTCAGTCAGAGGTCACAGGTCAGAGGTCACAGGTCAGAGGTCACAGGTCAGAGGTCACAGGTCACAGGTCACAGGTCAGAGGTCACAGGTCAGAGGTCAGAGGTCAGAGGTCACAGGTCACAGGTCACAGGTCGACATCAGTTCAGAAAGATTCCAGATTTATTTAGAATATTTCTTTTTTTTAATTCCCATTGATGAATATTCATTTTATGAAATATATTATCATTAAATCAAAGGATGTACAGACGAGGTTCGTCCATTTCATAAAATGTTTTCTATGTTTTTATTTCTTATTTCACTTTTAGCACCTTTTACACTTATTCATTATCTCTACAAATATTTATATATATTTAAAGAAACTTTGTTTCCTCTGTTGATCAATGTGTGTGTGTGTGTGTGTGTGTGTGTGTGTGTGTGTGTCTGTGTGCAGGTGACTCACTTGGTTATCAAACGTCCTCAGTTCTTTCATTTCAAACCTGGAGATTACATCTACATCAACATTCCCGTCATCGCCAAGTACGAGTGGCATCCGTTCACCATCAGCAGCGCTCCAGAGCAGTCCGGTACGTCCTCAACCAATCAGACGTAGGGGGCGGAGTCCAACTTCACACTCATGTTTCACAGACGACAACACAACAACACAATAACACAATAACACAACAACACAATAACACAATAACACAACAACACAACAACACAATAACACAACAACACAATAACACAATAACACAATAATACAACAACACAATAACACAACAACACAATAACACAGTAACACGATAACACAACAATACGACAACACAACAACACAATAACACAATAATACAACA